CAGTATCCGACAGTATCCGACAGTATCCGACAGTATCCGACAGTATCTGACAGTATCCGACAGTATCCGACAGTATCCGACAGTATCTGACAAATCATCCGACAGTATCTGACAGTAGTTAACACTATAGCCCTGTGTAGGGGAAACCTTGTGTCGGATAGGTGTCGGATAGATAGGGTGGGGTGTCAAAGTCCTTTTAAAATGACGCCCCATGTGTCGGATAGGTGTCGGATAGTGTCGGATAGGTCTGGTGAGATTCTGTCCTGTGCACCACGCAGCCATTTGGGGGAAGATTTTGGTAGCTAGCTTACTGCATGGCCCTTTCAATGGCATCAAGGGCAAAGCAGGACCCTTGCAAGGTTCTAAATAGCACATGCAATGCACATATGGTGTTACATATGGTGTTTGGAGGAGAGAAGGATAAACTATTTCCCTTTGACCAAGAAGGCGATCAAGAGATTCCTTAGGCGTATCCCACTTTGGTCAAGACTGAAGGCCTGTATATGCCTGTATTCATGTACCATCCCACGACACTCTCCTGTCTCCTGCTAATTTGGTGCAGGACGCCCACGATACCTCCACTCCAGATGTGAAACGGCAGCTCTTTGTATCACCTGATTCGCAGGACTGCAGAGTCAGGTGAATTCTGTTCATGCCCCCTAAGAACGAGTCCATGGCACATACATGATCAAACCATCGTAATACCTTGTACTATACCAGGAGACGTTGGTGGCAAGTCCAGTTGGCGAACCATGTATGCAAAGAGTGTCAATCTGTGCAACTTACATGTGTACGTATCCATGCAGGCCATGCAGTATTTACGAGCAGTGCATGCATTATAAAATGTGCTTGTCCAATCCAAGGTTCCTTCGCTTGCAAGTCCAAGATCCTTGCCTCATTCACTCCTGGCGTGCCTTTGCCCACTTAAACCTTCATCTTGCATGTATACATGTGCCGTTATATTTGCACATGGCATGCGTACCTATTATAAGGCGCACTTAAATTAAGGTCATCTGGGCCAAGCAGGGCTTCATCCTTTCATTCATTGCCATCCGTTGAATTACATGGTGCAAGCCTTGTGCCAGCGCACAAGCCCACCGTGCGGCCAACTGTCAAGACCGAGGAAACGGAATGCTCAGCAACCAAAAAAGCACGCATGCCAAGGCCCAAGCATCCAGAGACAGCAAGCAGCCAGCCTACTGCGACCAAAAGCCCTCCCCACGCACCAGCACAAGCCACAGAAGCAAAGCCAGAAAGCAAGCAGCAGCCTACCAAACCTCTCAAGAGGTTGAGACCAATGGCAGCAAGCCCCATGGACCAGATCATACCCAGTCCTGAGCCAGCAGCTGTGAAAGCCAAGGCTGCACAGGCTGTACCATTAGCTTGCAAGCCAGAGCTGAACGCAAGCCTGACCCAGGTGTCTGGTGTTGCAAATATGTCTCCAGTACCTCCAGCAAAGGCAACACCGCCTGCAGAGCCATACATACCTGCATCACGTGCCAAACCATCTCAAGCACCAAAGCCAATACCAATTGCCAAGTGCACCATGCCTGTGCCGCCAGCCCAGCCAGCTCCAGCATACAAGGAGGAGGTAGCAGCAGCAGCAGCCAATGACCAAGATGCGATGCGCGCACTGTGTTTCTTCAGGGAACAGAAAGGCCTGACCAACCCTACTCCCATCGAGGCAACACCCCAGAACCTCCAGGCCTTGATCCATGCCACTCCCTTCACCAAAGAAGAAATGACAGGTCCGACCGCTGATGTGATCTTTCAGAGAGGAACCACCCGAGATCTGAGCGACATCTGGGAGGAAGATCTGGGCAACAGCTGGGACAAGGAGTGTGGCAAAACTGATCATGGAGCAGCGCAGGCAGCCCCAATCCCCACTCCAAGCCGTGCACCTGCACCTGCGCCAGCCCACCCGAAACATCCAGCAGCACACCAAGCCCATGAGCCAAAAATTTCCACCCCAGAGCCTAAGGCTTGTCTGCCATTGGCCAAGCCAGCCCCTGTGCACAGCCCCTACTTGTCAAACTTGAGCACGGAGCCGAACAGTGCGAGCAGCATGGCCTCACCATCCACACCAGGCACAGTCACCTATGCCTACGAAATCCTGGACTCAGATGATGAGGATGAGGCTCAAAAGCAAGCAGCAGGAGCAGCAGCAGGAGACAACAGCCATGAAAACCACAATGGCACGGCTGCAAACGGCAACCATGGCAAACCAGCTGAGGTGAACGCGGACAACAGCAAAGCATCAGCAAAGGAGTCAGCAAACACTGGCACAGCAAAGAACAAGCAAACAGATGTCAGCAAACTACCTACCCTGAACAAGCTTCAGCTTCCAAAGGAGAAGGTCCAGAACTTCGACCTACCAAACATCGTAATCTCTGAGGGTGCTCCTTCAATGCATATAGTATATAAAGCGCGCATACGAGTTGCAACACATGATAACACATGTGTGCATAGATGCACGATGCCTGCATTATGCCTGCATGAGGCTACACCGTTGACATTTGATGGGTACAAGGAGCGCCAAGCTCTATTTGTCAAGTTCAAGAGGCCAGGTCAAAATATGTTTTTTTACATGGGATCCACGCACTATAATTGGTGCTGGCAATGCATGAGGCAAGTCCGTGGGGAAATCGCATCACCAGAGCCTGTTCCTGATGCTATGAAACAAGCTTGGGACACTGCTTGCAAAAGCAGATCTAGGACCGCAAAGAACCAGTTGTTCCAAACTTGGCTTAATGCTGGTGGCAAGTGGGGTATGTTTCATGGTTGCAAACATTTGCATTGCCCATGCATTTGTGTTTCTTTTTATATGCATGATTCCCCATTCAAGTCGATTCAGTTCACTCGTTCTCCCGCTTGGAAGCTCCACTTGATTTGCCCAGGCTTTCAGTCTCAGTGGCCAGGTCCCACACAGATCGCGAGCTTGGTCGTCACCAACAAGGCAAGGCCTCTCAGGTCAGGACTGGAATCGTGTTGTTTGAGGGGTTGTTTTTCTTCAAGCTGGCGAACCCGTGACCAGCTATTGGTGATGTACAATGGCAACCAAGACGTTGTGAACTCAATAATACGTCGTAAAACTCAGCTGGGCTTGGTTCGTGACCATCCTGACATGCCTGGTGACGAAAGTATGCGGTTGTATTACGTATCTAGGCTGATATTCATGAATGCTTATGGGATGCATGCTCCTACAGGCCGTGCTTCTAAAGACAACATCGGTGGTGCTATGTACTATGCACTATCTGTTTGGTAGCCATCTCTCAGGTTACACTTGATATCTCCACTACATCAGAGCACGAGACAAAGGATGTGATCGAACAACGGTTGGACTTGGACCTAGATGGTGGTTCTGAGGCCATGGATGAAGTGCAACCATGACAACCGTGTGCTGCCATGAACATAAAGAAGCTATAGATATTGCCCATCCATTTCTCAATGCGGGCAGGATGCTGCACGCTTCGCTTCTGGAGCGAACTTGGAGAACATGCTTGCCTTGCCCGACATGTTCGGGGGAGGACTAGTCCCGGCGGTAAACGAGCAGCCGCCGCCAGAGGAGAATGGGAAGGGGGGCCGCCGGAGAAGGAAGGACAAAAAGACCGATGAGAATGATGTCGAGGAAGAGAAACCAAAAAAGGACAATTCGTTTCTGAGTTGCGCTTTGAGAGGTGTTTTTGGACACATGCATAACATGTTATTCTTGTTCCATGATAGCCCATCCTAGGATACAACCGGACGATCCATGGGAAGCTGCTTCATGGGCTCTTGGAAAGGTTACTAATGGGTTGACTGGTGCCAAGATGCTTCCTATCAAGCTGCAGCACATCAAACATCAGGATGTGTTGAGCAACTTTCCATATATTATAGTTTCCAAACATCTTGCACTCAACGTCATGCATGCAGTTTTTTTGGTTCAATCGATGTCGATCGTATATGACCTTCGATCCCAGGAACAACGCTTGCCACTCATGCTGGTGAATTGGAAGCCTCGTTCTTTCAGCTACAGGGGTTCACTATGAAGAAGGAAGATGAACGACAGGATCCTTCCTCGTTTAGCGTGTTGATTTTTGTTGAACTCTCTTGCACAAGCCCAGCCTGCCACTTGATTGACGTCCATGCCCATGTCAGGAGTGCGATGTCGATCCCTGCGAAGCAGCTGTGAAGTTGGCAATTCAGCGATTGGATTTGTACCTAGAGGATGCTCGTGTCGCACATCAAGTGTTGCGCCCAGCAGCCAAAAAAAAAGGCAAAGGCCGAGACGGCTGCTGCCGAAGACTAGCAGGTGATTGAGTTGCAATCACTGGACATGCTAAAATGTCATGTGCCAGTACTTGATGCTAGCTGCATGGGGAGAAGCATGTTGGACCTTCCAACATGCCTGCCATAATGGCACCACATCGAACGATGGGAAAGGAACGCAAAGAGAACTCCCGAATTGCATCCATGGAATGTCAACTAGAGTGATCTTTCCCAAACAGCTGTACCCATTGCCCAATTGTGTGTTTCTTTACATCATTTCGCATACCAAAGGTCCCTTAAAAGGGTAATGGAACAAAAGAGGTTGTGCAATGTGCAATTTGTGTCAGGCCATCATGGGCCAGCTGATGTTGCTGCCACTATTCGGCGCTTGGAAGCTAAAAAGGCAGGGATGGGGTTGCAAGGAAACAAATACGAGTGATGTTCATATATGGAACCATGTGCATTGTCATCATTGTCATGCTAACTTGTTCAATTCCTGCGGTACTCAAGCTTTCTCATTCCGTCCCATCACTGTGCCTCAAATGCAGGCAAATCGAGACAACGTTGCAGTAGATCATGCTCCACGTGCCTCAGCTTCGTCGTCTTCGCATGCTGCAGTCCGAGCAAATCTGCATGCCATGGACGACAAGGGTTCTCGATTCTGGAGCTTGTTGGTGGATGATTTTGCAGCTGGGAAAATGCATGCAATAAAAGAAGCATGGCTGTGCTGCTCTTTTGTTTCCTTTTTTTCCCTTTTTGCAAGTGGTCTTGGAAACCAGAACCATCTGTGGTGACCCATTCTTTGAGGAGCACCCTCTGTAAGGTTCAACAAATGGCCGATGCAGCGGTAGATCTTTGTACCAGTCTTGGAGCATATATCCCACAAACTCATATGATCAGCCGGCTAGCTCGCATTGCTACAAGTGGCCAACACCCGTCGAATGCTGAAAGAGACCTCCACCATATTTTGGAGAAGCTCAGTCTTCAAATCCAGCCTACAGAAGTTGATGTCAGGATGTGGGACCACAAGAACAGCCGTGTAGTTTGGACCAAGGTGCCGGTAATCATGCCAGACTCAATGGCATCTGCTATTTGGACCATGGGTGGCAAAGACATGTTTCATTGGTTTTTCTGCGGGGACATGTCCCATGAACAGATTGAAGAGTATTGGAACCATGTCCATTCTACATCAGAGTGGTTTCAAGTACATCCTGCTGCCACATACCCACGTCGGGGCCTTCTCCCTTTGTCACTTTATGGAGATGAGGTTGCTACATACAAAAACTCTGAAGTTGGGAGCATCATGGTCTTAGCATGGACATCGGACTTTTGCTACAACCGGCCTCCGCTCTTGAGGTATTGTCTGCTGACAACGTATGCTGAATATCTTGAGTCTGATTTCACTTACAATGACATCATGTCAGCGGTATGTGATCGGATCATCAAGATGACCGACATTCGTGAACAGTTTGTGTGGTCTGCTGATTACACCTTTATGTTCTCAAGCAACCAAGGTGACTTGAAGTACATGTTGCACAAGCACAAACTGTTCAGCTATATGAGCAATGATATGTGTAGTTGGTGCCGGTGCTGCAAGGTGCATGCACAAGTCTCCATGACTCTTGGGGACATGAGGGAAGATGCGGCCCACAGCTCTACTCTGATAAGCCATCAAGAGTTCATGCAGTCGACGACACCTGATGAAAGCAGCTTGCATGTAAATAACATGTACCGTGGTGTGTTCAATTGATTGTTTTGTGGGGCCAACATCCTACCTCATGTTCACCAACCTTGACCCAGCCCAGCTAAGGATCAATCACTTTCAAGGTGCCTGGTGCCCATTTGCATAGATTCACACACGATGTTCTTCATGGCCAGCTACTGGGGACTGGTCGTCTCCTCAATGGAGCCTTTGCAACATGTAAAGAACATGGTCTTGTGAGTCTTAAGTATCCCCTTCTTTTTGGGTGTGATAAATTCCAAACTACTGCAGGTGTTTGTATTCATAGTGGACGAGGACCCAACACATAATCGTTACAGGTTTGTTCAGACCCTCACTGTGCAGGATCAGTTTTGGTATTCCTTTGTGAGAGTGGGTGCTTCGGTGCATGGTCCAGGGGGGCGCTATCCGTTTGTTCTTCAACACCGTCTTGGTGAAGCTTTCAAGCAGTTCGGTGTATGGAAGAAGCAAAATCGCCATACCACCACCCAAGCAAGGTTCACTTGTTCTCGTTTGCACCGCTTCACCCGGGCTGACTATCCGGCTTTACAGTCCAAAGGTATTGCTGGTAAGCGATTGAGCTTTTGGCTGGCAGACGCTGCAACCTTTTGGGCAACCCGCCCAGGTGCTTCAGACTTGGATAAGCTTGTGGCCACAACGGCCGTTGCGTACAAAAACTTTTTGCAGCTGCTGTCTGAGTACCCCTTGGTGTTGAGTGAAAGGATGGCGACACAGATTTACAAAGCAGGGCAGCTGCACCTTTTGAGTTACGCTCGTTTGAGAAGCTTGTCAGCAGCTGTTACAGGAGCTCATAGTGGCAACAGGTCATTGTGGCAGCTGGCGCCGAAGCACCATTATCTGTACCATGTACTTCGTACTGTGAAGCAGACTCGAATCAATTGTCGTTTCTACCAGTTGCTCTCTGCAGAGGGTTTTGTCGGCCTAGTTTCCCACATCGCACGTGTTTGCCACCGAGCAAATTTGACGAGACGTGTGATCCAGCGCTACAAGATCCAAGTGGCACGGTTTGCACGGCACAAGTATCGCGAAGTGATAAAAATGTGCGTGTGATTATCACAGTGGGGTCTCATGGGGTCTCACAGTGAGGGGTCGAACATGAGTTGGGCCCTCAAGTGTTTTTTGCAATGGGCCCATTCAACATCTGAGACCCCGAGATCTGTTATGATCCTTTGGGTATATTAATTTATATATGATCACACCGGAAAAGCCAATCACCTGCAAAACCTGTGAACGGGGACTTGGTGCAACTGCCAACTACACAAACAAAACGTTCTTCGTCAAAGCTAGATTACGGGAGTCCGGTGTTACGTCCGCTCACATGCGTGGATCCAATTCACGGTACCGTTCAGCTGGTAACCAGTATGTGTTCAAAGACTAGGACCATTAACTTCAAAACCCAGGTTCCAGATCTAGTGACCCTAGCCTTCCGTTGGACCTTTGAATGGTTGACTTGTTGTAGAGCGAGTCGATATTCCTACGTTGTAAAACAATGGACCTTCGGAATTGAGACCATCAAAACATCTCAAAGCCCAGGCCAGGAAGCCGTTTTTCGGCCTAGGCATCCGGGATCGACGAGACCACACACTATAGTCATTCAAGGTTCAGTCGTTGATCTTCTACGTGGGTATGAGTATTAGGACGCTATTACCCTAGGCCTCCAAGTACCTTCTGAGAAGGTGTTTGGGGTGGGTTTGGAGGGTCCAAATACCTTCTGAGGAGGTACTTGGAGGCCTAGGGTTAGGTTGGGGGCCATCGTTATCTTCTTTTCCCATCTCTTCAGGTCCAGTCCTTATAGGTATACAGCTCTCTGTTCTACACCCTAAGGCTCCAGCAACCATCCGTTTGTTCTTAAGGACGTCCTGAGCCGACCATCCGAACAGGTGTCGTTCTTTCACTCACTGCACCTCCATGAGTTCGACCCGTAGCACAGTCAAAGCTGGTCGGACAGTCCACTCCGTCGAAGAGGGAGGTGAGACCAGTCCACGAACCGTGAGTTCGACCCGACCGACCGGTAGGGCCCATGGAGCCAGCCTCCCATCATCATGCCCTAGGGATCCAAGTACCTTCTCAGGTACGGTGATTGGAGACACTCTTATGTAGGTTTTGAGGGTCCAAGTACCTTCTGAGAAGGTACTTGGATCCCTAGGGATGTATTTGTATACTTGGCAAATCTTGGCAAATGGTTCTTATATGAGCCAGTTGCAGCTTGCCACATGAGGCTGGCGAGGTATGAAGCACGGGTTTGAGACCAACCCACCCATGCACTCGTCGTGTCGTTTTTGCACCTGGACCATCGTCGCGTTCGACCACGACTCCAGAGCTGATCTGCAGGTCTGTGGGAACACGACATGGAGGTGAATAGCGGCCTTCCAGCCGTGCCTGGTTTTCAGGAGCAATTCTCCCGTTTTGCTTCGAAGGAATGGTGAATTCTAGTCGTCGCCCCAGTTTTGCGACGGATGCCATGGTCTTTGGAGTCGATCTCGATCGGATGGAAGACCCCGGTTCGGCCTGGCAGTCGTAACGAACCTGAGGTTCGGTGGGACGACCGGGTGGGTTTTTTTGGAGGGTCCAGTCATACCGAACCTGAGGAGGTACGAAAACGGAGGTGTAGGGGACAGTGGATATCGCTAGACCTTTTGGCTGTTTCTATGGGGGTCTCCAATAGACGCACTGCGTACGAACACCGCGAAACCAAAAAAAGGCACCCCTTGGATGGTGCTGGTATCCATTTGCTTGGCTGATTTGGGCCAATCTCCTCAGGTTCGCTGGGCACAGACCCCCCCTGGTACCCACTCACCCCAGTCTTACCGAACCGAAGACGGAGGTAGGACCTGGAGCCCTATAAGAAAAGAACACTGGGACATTCTCATCCACGATGCTTCGTGAGGATCTGGAGCCCTGTCCCTAGGCCTCCAGTCGTACCGAACCTGAGAGGGTGGGACGACCGGGGCCCGGGTGCCAAAACGTCAGGTCCAGTCATACCGAACCTAAGGAGGTACGAAAACGGAGGTGTAGGGTATGCCATCCTATGCCCAGAAGTTGTTTTCATGGCGGTGCCCGTCGTGTCCCCCGTCTCGCGAGGATGGGCCGCTCACGGAGCATGGGCCCCTCACTGGTGCGGAGCACAGCGGAGCGAGCAAAAAGAACATGCCCAGTGGATTGCCAGGCAAATATCCAATACTAGGTGATGGTTTCGGATATGTTTGTTTTCAACCCTTACTTGGGGATGATTGGACACTTTGACTAATATGTTTCAAGTTGGTTGAAAACACCAAGCAGAATAAGATTATAACCATAGACCGGACCTATATATGAGGACCCAGGTTTTTTTCAAGGTAACAGTCGAACTGGAACCACTGGTTGCCACCGAACTAGTGCTTTGCCTGTGGACCAGAGGCCTACTCGGGCCCATGGCCAGAGAAAAGGGGCGGGGTTGATTTCATTGGTCCCGCTAGGCGAAATCACACGCCAACAGAGGTTAAGTGATCTGAACGTTCGGACCCGAGCTACCTGGGGTACCTTATAGCACAGTCTAGTTCGGGTTCTTCAACCTTTGCTGGCGTGTTCCTTTTTTCCAACTTGATTCATTGAACCAGGAACACACACTGGACGGACTACATAGCACCCTTTGCTCAGACATTGATCGTGCAAGAAAAACCAAAAGGGGGAGTGCCAGCAGCGATGATAGGATGGCTATTGGGTGGCTATATTGGATGGTAGGTTGGTAGGAGGAATGGTGGGAGGCTCTATAACCCATGTTGTGCATGAACTAAGGATCAGTTTTGCTTGTGTGTGATTCATCGAGCGTTTCCATTGGGGTTCTTGAGACTACGTCGGTCCTCAATGGCCATCGAGATGGGGTCATAGAAAACAGGCCCATGTCAGAGGGGGATGCCACCTACACTCTGGTGAACAAAATCCTCTCTTTGTAAGCTAGGAGAATAAGTCTCATCCGTGGCTTCTCGTGTTGCTTAGTAGTGAGTGCATCCCGGATTCAACTACCTGGAGTCCCAAAGTACCGCGGAAGATGGGGCCGCAGTCGTTGTTGTGTTGGGTTCGGGTCATGTCCCATTTTTCCAGGTACTGTACTTGAAGTCGTGTCTAGGTAGATTGGCCCCAGCCCTGTTTCCAGCCTCAGGCCGAGGCAAGCTACCTCCTGGTCCTCGCTTGAGAGCCGCCTTTTGGACCCTAAACTGGATCGAAATACGCTCCAAAAACGGTGGAAAGGCTGGGTGTGCACCGCTTTTCAAGGGCAGGGAACCGGTCATTTTTACTGAAACCTGCCCATGAATCGACCTATATCTTTTTTGGGGGGGGGCAAGTGTTGCGCAAGTGACCTGGTTTGAGTGTGATTGTTGGGTGAAGAGGTGCATCTTTGGGTGGAGGGAGTTTGCAGAATTGTAACTGGCGACGTTGCAGCTTTCGGACGTAAATTGAGTACATGCTCACACAGCATCACCAACTATCAACTCACCTTTATCCTTTATGTGCTTCGCTGGTGCGATCTGGCTCCAAACATTTTCGAACAGATTCAGCTGGTCTCGATGACCCGGGCAGCCTTCCTCAAACTGGCTGGCCAAGGCTCTAAGCTTTTCAGGAAGTGCAAGGCTCTCCTTGGCCTTGATGAGGTGGAGGCTTGGAGTTTGCAGGAGAGGCTTCTGCACGCTCTGCGTGCTGGAGCAGCATTCTGGTCGTACGTTTACTTCCAGGGGTTGGTCAATCCTACGGTCAGTGACTTTGCGCCTCTGAACTCTCTTCCTGAGAGTGCGCGGGGTACTGCTTTGGCATCTGCCGACTATCTACATGATATGTTAAGATGGTGTCTGGGACGATTTGGGAAATTGCAGGACATCTGCGGCCAGATCTCCAGTTTCATGGGCCAAGTGGCCGAAGCAGACCTGAAGACCAAACAGCAGTTCAATACGATGACTGAGCAGCTCCATGAATTGTCAAATGGGGTCTTCTGCACGCTCGTTTCGGCTTGACGGCTCGCATGAGGAGGAGAGCATTCATGTTGGTGAACTCAGGGCACTTTTTCCTCCAAGTACGGCAACAACTTGGGATTTGGCCAGCCCGAAGGACATTGCAACTTTGGAAGAGACATGGCGCTTTGGCCCAGGGCTTTGGCAGGATACGTGGCAGTAACGAAGGCCAACAAGACTGCTATCAGATTGGGGCTCAGGTTCCTGACGCCAAGTGTGTGGTTATCGCGCGGAGCCCCGTCTACACCACTGCCCTCTCAAATCTGCATATGTTGCCGGCGCGCTGCCAGGACAGATGTGTGCAAGAGAGGGCGCAGATGAGAGTGCTCGCCAATTGTCTTGCCCGGGTTCTCCTTGATCCATGCCACAGGACACAGAAGTACTCCAGCCATGGTTGAGGAGTGTCTTGGCAGCTCTCCCGCTAGATGGGCGGGCTGCTTTCCTCAGAGCCTCGCAGACTATGAGACTGTTCACAGAGCAGGTCAATTAAGCTATAGTGTTGGGAAAGGATACGAATGTTATAAAACAGCCAAAAAACACATACCTGGATCCGGCAAAATTTTCCGCCGGATTCCGAAAAAAAACGCCGGAGATTCTGAAAAACAGAGATGATAAAAGGTTGGATCATACACAAGCAAACTGCCTTTGCGCCACGAGTAGTTTTTTCTGGAACAGACTCATTCCACAACCCAGCACTGGAGACTGGAGCCTTCCCGTTCCCATTGCCCTCGCCCATCTTCCGAATGGCCTAAGAGCAGAACCATCACAAAATATAAGCAAACTTGTGCCCAAGCAAAGACTTCCAAGAAGAAACGAAGGAGTATGTGGCAAGGAGCCCCTATTTCTTTGCAACCGTGCCTCTAAAGTTTTCCCGAATGCGTAGCGAAGGGCGTTCTTGTTTAACTCTTTGGGGGTCTGGGGGTAGAGCTTTGTTCGCGACCCGTTGTTTCTATGTTCGCAACCGTCCGCAACCGTTCGCAACCGTCCGCAACCGTCCGCAACCGTTCGCAACCGTCCGCAACCGTTCGCAACCGTCCGCAGTAGAGCGCTAAGGCGCTGCCATTGGGG